GAGAACCCTGGGCCCCACGCTGGGGAGACAGACCCTCCAGGGAGCTTTAATGTGTAGCCAGAGGTGAAAGCAGCACATCAGTGAGCAACCCAAAGGTCATAATCACACAAACACCACAAACAGTGCAGTATTAAAGCAGCACAGCAACTGGTTTATTTTATCGTTGACAATTAGCAGCTTTTTCTCTTCAAGGCAATCTCATAGACACATACACACTGACTTTACAGATTCCTTAAACAGACAGAAGATACACCACTAAGGTCCCCTGTAATACACTGGCGAGTCAGGGGTGGGCATGGAGGAACATAGTACTCTTAAAGGAGGGAGGGAAGATCTCTTGACAATAGAAAACATTCAAGAACAAACCCAAAGGTATTCTTATAAAACAATCACCAACTCATGTAAATTAATTAAACTCATAAAAAGAGTAGAAACACAAAATTCATTATTAATTTTTAAAAAGACTTGACACACTATAATGTGTGTATAGAATCTCTTAAAAAGCTTAGCACTTAGACTAACGCAGCATTAAAATCCAGCTTTCTTAGGAAGTCATAGCAAATCCAAGCATTGCTGTGCAGGCATTAATGATCCTCTGAGTGGAATAAAGATGTAGCTTCCTTAAACAGAACTCTTTTTTAGTACGATAGTCTTACATCTCCTGTCACTGCCAGCCACAGTTGTTTCAAATTCCTGGCTCATTCCAAGTCCATTTTCATTTTCGAAACAAACAACATTACCTTTTGATTACATCCATTGTAGAAAAAAATGTGAAAATAAGAGAAAAATACAAAGAAAATAATATAGCACTTTTCTTCTAAGATAAAAGATGATACATATTCGTTTTAGGTCTTTTAGATGGGTACACAGAATTTTAAAATGCATTCAACACTTAAGCACATACATTGCTGTTTTTCCACCCCGTTACCACAATCGTTCCTTTAGGACGTTAACTTTTATGTGAAAATGTGACCTTCAGTTCTTGGCAGCTTTGGAATTTAACTACAGCGAATCCACACAGGAGCTCTGGTTGCTTGGTGGTACGGAACAGAGCTGTCAAATAAGTGGTTCGAATCCACAATCTGCTCTGTGGGAGAAAGGTGGGCAATCTCCTCCCCTGTGATTTACTGACCATGAAAACCTACTGAAGTGTCAGCAATAGGTTGGTTTGAACTCATGGTACACAATCACCACCCATCATTTAAGGAGCCTCTGTGGCACCGTAGTTGTGTTGGGCTGTTACCTGTAATGTCAGCAGCTGGAACCCATCAGCTGCTCCATGGATGAAGATGCAGTCTACCCCCGTTAAGATTTACAGAAGGGTGCCATGACTCAGGATTAACTCGACAGCAATGGGAGAGCATCCTCTCTAGTAATGAATGAAATCGCTGTATAGTCCGAATACTTGAACTAACACAATAGTGAACATCTTTCTTTATACAAATTCTTAGTGTGCACCTCAGAAAATTTTGAAAAGATAAAATTCTAAGGAGGAACCAGCTCAAAGAGTATAAATATTTCATAAGAATCAAGATATGTTTTATGAGACTTCTTTCCAGAAAGGCTGTTACTAATTTACACCCACAGCTAAAATCAGATTAAAAGTCTCCTTTCTTCTCTGTTATTTCCTGGGACATGAAAAACTAGGTGTCACTTCCTCCCCTATATTGCTGCAAATCTAGTAGAGAGGGAACTGGTACCTCGGTGCCGTCTTTTCTTGAACGAGAGCTTCCCTTCCCCACCTCACGCATTTATTGTCTTTTGGTCTCTGGATTTTCAAAGTCTTGCAGAAGGAATCTCGAGCCACACTCTTCCCTATGCAACATCACAGAAGCTGAGTATTTTCCCTGGTCCATCAAGTTCAGCAGGAATTCTCCAAGTGACTGGGATTAGAAAGTCAGCTATCTTCCTGGGTAGCCAAGACACTTTAATGCCGTGGTAATAAAACAGAAAACTGGGCCATATTCTGAAAGAAAGCAGGCAGAAGTTATGATGACTCAATTTCCTAGGCAGTGGTTCTCATGTACATGAGTAAGCAAGGTATCACCATGTGTGCTGATTAACCAGATTCTGGTTTGAGGGAGGCAGCATTTTGAATAAGCTCTCGAGAAAAAGTGTTACAACAAAACTTCAAATTCATTAACCACACATCCCATTTCTTTCCTGTACAGTAGGTCAACAATGCCAATTTTAGAGGACTGTTCTGATTCTTAATCATTTGCATCCTCTTTTAGATCCACGAGAAGGCGTTTGCCTAAAGGCTCTACAGGCTGGGTTATGGCGTATAACCAGCTTCTCCTTCCGCAAGGAGACCTGGGCTCCATTCTCAGCCAGTGGATGAACTAAGAAAGGCCTGGAGATTCACCTATGGAAAACATGCATCAATGCCGCATAGGAAGCATGGGCATCATGAGTTAGGGGTAGGCACCAAGGCAGCTAACAACCCTCTACACCTCGCTGCTGTTGTTATGTGCTGCTGAACTGACTACGGCTCAGCGACCCTACACTGTTGCCCATTGTGTAAAAAAAATCCCTTGTGTTAAGGTGTTAACATTTCCAAAGAGAAAAGAAGCTTCATCATCACAGCAAATCCTATGACTCTTTGTAAACCACAGCCTGGCATAAAGTAGGTGCTCATATTAAGTGTTTTTTAACTAAACTGGTGAGCAGATGGAAGATTTTTTTCTCTCAGTGCTTGGAAGATGGAAACATTCAGAAAAAGGTTATTATTACTGTGTCCAGAGCAGCAATTCTTCACTTTCTCTCCTCAGGTTTTATATCCTTTTGGAGATTTTGATTAAATGATACATAGTAAGCCTCTTTAGAAATGCATGCATACAGAAACATGTACTTCTATCCGGTGGCATCAGAGAAGAGAATATTCATGTCCACTAGCCGAACATTTTCACTTAAATAAGACCTCTCCAGGGTACTGAAGAGCAATGGTGTCTCTCTGGAGACTAAGGTGCATCTGATACAGGCTATGGTCTTTGCAATCATTTGTTATGCATCAGAGAGTTGGACAATGACTAGGGAGGATAGAAGGAGAACTGATGCCTTTGAGCTGTGGTGCTGGAGAAGAATATTGAATGTACCATGGACTGCAAAACAAACAGATTCATCCTGGAGAGGGTTAAACCAGGCTGTTCCTTGGAGGCAAGGATTCTAGGGCTTCGTGGGACACACTTTCAACATGTTGTAAGGAGGGACAGGTCCTTGGACAGGGACATCATGCTCAGGAGGGTGGAGGGACAGTACAAGAGGGGAAGACCCTCTATGATGAGGTGGACTGATTCAGTGACTGGGGTAATCGGGATGAGTGTGTCAGAGGCAGTGCGATTGGCACAGGATAGAGCAGGGTTTAGGGCTGTTGTACATAAGGTCTCTATGAGTCACAAACGACTCGACGGCACATAACAACAACAACAACAATAAATCAACTGCTCAAATATTTATGTTCAAATACTTATGTAAATTTGAAAGTTTATATTCAAGAGATTATGATTAAAATGGGGCAAACTGAATTGTACAGGTAAAAAACAACAGCAAATGTAAATAATACACACGTGTGTGTGTGTGTGTGTGTGTGTGTGTGTGTGTGTACTGTGTGTATCCTAGTGGTAAGAAGCTGCAGTACAATCTCAATGGCACATAGTTCGAATCCACCAGCTGCTCTGAGGGAGGATGGGCAATCTCCTCCCTTGAGATTTACTGCCCATGAAAACCTACTGGAGGGTCAGCTAGCGGTCAGTTCGGACTCAAATGCACACAACAACAACAACAGATATGTAAGTATTCTTTTTTTTTTTTAATTATTATTTTTGTGTGAGTGTACCGTCAAATCAGATCTGTCTGGTACAGGAGGAGATTGACCTTCCTTTCTCGGCAAAGCATCTGGTGGATTTGAACCGTGCGCCTCTGCGATTATAGTTGCAGCTCCTTACCACTAGGCCACCAGAGCTCCCCTAGATATGTAAGTATTCTTATACACACATATACACACTCTCCACACCCAAACAGATGTTTATGTAAATAAGTATATATGTGTAGTTTGTGAAAATGGCCTGCCACAAACATCCAATCCGAACAAAATAAAAACTACCCTAATCTGTAGGTGTCCTGCTATGTAACTACTGTAACTCCCCTCCCACCAGCCTGAGCAGCAACAAAAGTGCGAGTCATACTTCTAGAACTTTGTTTAGTCAAACAAAACTTTCACTGCTATGCAGCACACTTTTACACAAAACAGACAAACCTAATCTCAAGAAAAACAAGGGGGACGTCTCTTGTTTCAACTCTAAGGCACACTTCCTTTTCAGTAAATTTAACTTTCCTGTTTTCTTTTCTTCAAAATAATAAGTAAGGGCTTCCCATTTTTCAATATGACAAAGTGCTTCATGGCAGACATACGTCATTACTTGTCATAAAGCAGCTATCTATCTCCTAGGTATACAATGTTGAAACCCACAGACACATCTCTGCTGCTTTTGGACAAAATCTAGTGAGGATGATGGATGCCAAATCGCACTTGTCTCTGCTGGTCCTAAAGACACACACCTTGTCACCGTGGGAGGCACGGGTACGCTGAACCAGCTTTGAGAGTCTACGTGCGCGCTTCCTACACCATCAGTGACTTCACACCACAGAAAGCAGCAAACCCTACCTGTTTGCTCAGCCCCATCTTCAGTAGGTATTTCTCTGTGCTTTTCTATTGTCTCTGTGTTCCTAAAACTAGTTTTCCTGCATGGCTTTTAGTTTTTAATGCAGACAGAGAGGGTTCAAATCCTTTCCTAGTTACTACTTTACGACCCAAGAATATAGCTGTGTTCAGGAGATCTCACGGTAAAGTGACTATGCTTTTTTGTATATAGGTGAATGCAATGTCAACTTGATGCAACTCCTTATCTGTGTGGAGAATCGAAGTCACAAAACGGCCAAATAATAACCACACATCTTGTGGCTCATTAGTTTAGAGTACATAAACTCTGGGGATTAAGATGGGAGTTGGGGCTGTACCTATCCGTAATCAGTCCTATTTCATCATGCCCAAGTATGACATTTAGGTTTCCAAACAGCCGGTATTACAGTAAAGGGCACGAAAACGCACTGAGGTGAGAAAAAAAAGGTGACCTGTAAGTAAGAACAAAGGGCTGAGGCACTGCGGCCCTGTCCGATGTCTTCAGGTGGCAGAGGCGGACCTACCTTCAGATTATGAAGGGTTTCAGACCATTCCATGGACCCGATCTGAGGTATTGCAGTGAGGAGTAAACTTTTGGCTTTATTGGCATTTTCTTTCAGGGTCTTTAATACCTTGTCCACTGAAACCTAGAGAGATAACAACATCGAATGTTAAGGGTAATTTCATTTCTATCATTTTCACATTGTCATTTTTTTCCTCCCAAGTCTCAGCTCGATCTGGATGTCACTTTACTGTAGTTTTAATTCTCTGAGCCCAGTTGTATTTATGCATCAATGCATCTTTGAAAAGCACCAAAAAGTTTCAATGAACTGAAAATGATGTCAAATCAGATGTACAAGAAGAAGGAAACATCACTGATGGCACCTAAATCCGAAATGTTTACATTCAATCAATCATCAATTTATAGAAAATACAGTTAAACTACTTTATAGGTTACCGTCAACCCAGACTCTGGAAAACATTTCAGGATAAATGACCCTGTTAGCATTCTAGAAAACTTATAAGAAAAAGTAAAACCACCGCAGCATTTGGGATAAATTATGACATTTGTGATGACGAGGAATTTGAATCTTGCCTGGGTTAAGGAATTAAATTACTGATGTGTAACACTGCTGTGGTTACGTTAGCTATCTTCTGTAATACTTATAGGTAAAATGATTGATGGAGAATACTGAAAATATGACTAGTTTTAATTTCATGTGGTAATAGTAGAAGTTAGATACTGGATTTGTGGAAGTTTGTAATGTTGTGAAACAGTTTCCTAAAGAAAAGTTGATAACGTTGTGAGTTCACAATAGACCACTGGAGACAAGTACTTCCCAGGATTCAATATGCTTGTCAGAAATCTAAGATTCTGGGCACAATGATTCCTTTTTTTTTTTTTTTTTGGTTGCTTGGATACAAAGATCCAGGATTCTCCTTGAGTACCGGCACTGAAACAGAGGGAGGTTCCAGTGCCGGGGGGACACAGCAATTAATCAGCGAGCTAATGGCCAGGCCCATGTCCTAGAATGTCTGAAGCTGAGTCTTGAAGAAAAGGGTTATGAAACATCAAAGAGATTTCCCTAACACTTCCCTACACCTACCCTGGGAATTTAATCCTCTAGCTCAAATCTCATCGACTTCTCCTCGCGAGACCCCACACAATTCCATCATAAGCAGTATCTGATGACAACTCTGCTGAAAGTTAGCACCATTCCAGTTGCTCCACACACATTATTTTTAATTCTAGTGACCTCACAAGGCTGGAATCATTAACCACAAACAATACCCTCCTCCCCAGCTCCATTTTACAGATGAGAAAACACGTTTGATAACCTGTCCATGGTCATCATTTAAAATAAAGCAACTGAAATCTGAAGATGGGTTTAGGTAGTTTCAGGACCTTACTACAGTTGTTGTGAGGTACCGTCAAATTGAATACGACACATAAAGACCAATGAACAGATCTGAACCCTGTCCTATCCTGTGCCATCTTCACAGTCTCTGACACACTCAAGTCCATTGCCACAGTCACTATGTCAATGTGTTGAAGGTCTTCTCTTTGACTATCTCTCTACCTTTCTAAGCATGATTTCCCTCTCCAAGGAATAACTCTATTAGCAACATGCCCGAAGTATGTGATAAAGACACTTTATCATTTTTGCTCCGTGGTGCACTCTGGCTGTACCCTGTCCAAGACCTATTTTTTGTTCTTTTGGCCATCCACGGCATACTCAGTACTCTTCTTCAATACCACTGCTCAAAGGCATCAATTCTTATTCTGTCATTCTTAGTCACTGTCCAGCTCTCAGATGCCTAACAAGTGACTGAAAGGATTTTAGTCTGAATCAGACGTATGTTGGTCCTCAAACTAACATTATTGCTCCTTCCTAATTTGAGAAGGTCCCTAACTGCAGACATTCTCTGTGCAGTATGAGTCTTGATCACCTGACTGCTGGTATCAAGCGTACCGACTGAAGAGTCAAGTAATATGAAGTCACTGACAGAGTCATGGTACCAAAAGGAACTGGCTGACACTGAAGGATTTTATGAAACAAGAGCCTGTCGTGATGAAAGAAGAAGTTCAAGCTGCTCTGAAAGAATTGGAAAAAAATAAGGCCCCAGGAATCAATGGCATACCAACTGACATATTTCAACAAACCGACGCTGTCCTGGATGCATCCACTAAGTTGTGCCAAGAAATCTGGAGGGCAGTTACCTGGCCAAATGAGTAGAAGAGAGCTATATCTGTTACCATTCCAAAAAAGGATGACACGACAGAGTGAAGAAATTATTGAATAATATTACTAATAATACATGCAAGCAAGATTCTGCTGAAAATTACCCAAAAATAAATGGAACTGCACATCAACAGAGAACTGCAGGCTGGGTTTAGAAGAGGCTACTAGGGTTTTATAGATAATGTTATATGGATCTTGGCTGAAAGCATAGAGTACCAGAGGAATGTCTATCTATGCTTCATTAACTATGCAAAGGCCTTTGACTGTGTGGATCACAACAAACTGTGGCTGACTCCGAGAAGAACAGGAATTTCAGAACACTTGATTGTCCTTATACAAAACATATACCTGGACCAGGAGGCAGTCGTCAGAACAGACCAAGGAAACATCGCATGGTTGAAAGTTGGGAAGGGTGTATGCCAGGGATGTGTCCTATCTCCATACATTTTCAATCTATCTGCAGATTAGATCATTCAGGAGGCTGGGCTATATGAGGAAGAAGGAATGTGGCATCAGGATTGGTGAAAGAGTCATCAACAATCTGAGTTATGCAAATGACAAAACCCTGCTTACTGAAACTGAGGAGGACCTGAAGTGCTCGCTGAAGAATGTCAAGGACTGCAGTCTTCAATATGGATTGAAGCTCAACCTCAAGAAAACAAAGATTCTCACCACTGGGCTGACTGGCAGCATTATGACGATGGTGAAGAGACTGAGATAGTTAACAGCTTTAGTTTGCTGAGCTCCATAATCAACACTCTTGGTATCAGCAGTCAGGAAATCAAAAGATGACTTGCATTTGGGAAAGTCAGCTGACAGCGATCTCTCCAGAGTACTGAAGAGCAACGAGTCAGTCTGGAGACTAAGGTGCACTTGATTCGGGCCAGAGTCTTCGCAATTGCTTGCTATATGTCAGAGAGCTAGACAATGGTTAGAGGTAACAGAAAGATAATTGATGCCTTTGAGCTGTGGTGCTGGAGAACAGTGTTGAAATATACTATGGACTGCTAGGAGAATGAACAGATTATCCCTAGAGCGAGTGAAATCAGGCTGCTCTTTGGAGTCAAGTTTTCTGAGGGTTCGTCTGATATTAACGTTGGCCATGATGCAAGGAAGGACCAGTCCTTAGAGAGGGACATCATGCTTGGAAGGTGAAGGGACAGAAAAAGAGAGGAAGACCATCGATGAGATGGACTGATTCATTGACTAGGGTAATGTGTCAGAGAGTGAAGTTGGCACAGAATAGAGCAGGTTTCAGTTACTGTACACAGGGTCACTAGGAGTCACAAGTGACTCGACAGCACAAAAGAACAAACAACAACAATCATGATGTTGCCTACAGGCCCAGGGGTTAAGACGTTTTCTTATTACAGTGTGCTGCATATATTAAAGCTTAATGACTCACAGGGCTGGCTAAGATGGTGTGCTCTTTTATCCGTGCCTTCCTTGTGATGTCCAACGTTATTTAAATGTGTGCCTTGCTTTTTACACACAGCTTAGCTTCTCTGGTCCTAATGAAAGTAGCTCTAACTGCTTTTCAAACCTCACTCGGCCTGCCAAAGAAAAGCTCTGTTGGTGCCGCCAAAGAGCAAATGGTACGAGGCTGAGTTGAGCCACAGACAGGCAATCTGCTTCCAGGAGCTGCAGAAGCCAGTGTCCCTAACTGGAAACAGCTTTGAAACACCATGAAGGGGAGTGCAGTAAGTTATGGAATTTGGGGGGGGGGGAGAAGAAAAAGATACTGCTTAATTACAAAGCATATTTCTAAGTTCCAGCATTATGTAAAATAGTGCCTGGTATTTTTAGTGGAGTTATACAACTTGGGTATTAAGTAACTGAAAGGCAGAGAATAGAGTCAAAGATTAAAAATGTAGAACAAAGATGAGACGGCATTCCCACAGAGCAGGACCTTACCCAGGCCCTGAGAACCTTTCTTCGTCTTCAGTCACAAAAGGCATCCTGGCATCATTACTATTATGAAACTGAGGAGTCAGGATGAAGGACAGTCATGCTAAACAAAGAACTCATGTTCAGCTAGGACCCTAACTCATGGCCAGAGAGCAAGAACAGGTGACCCCATTTTCCAAGAAACTGGGTGACGAAGTTCTCGGAGAGAGTGGCAAAAGTCCCTCTGGGGAAGTATCACTTTTTAAAAAATGAACACAGAACAACTAGTCACACTTCTTTACATCAGGATTTCCTGAGAGTAGTTCTGTCCCTTTATAGATTTTAAAAGGAGGTAAATGACAGTATAAATGATTTGGTTTCTTCAAATAAAATAAAAGGAATGAAAAGGAGGCTGTTAAATTAAGAGAGACTTAAAAGCAGACTGTAGAAATATGCAGACGGGAAAGGATCTCAATTGGAACAAACTGTTAAAAATAATGAGTGAAGAGGAAAAATGTGAAAAATATATTTGATGATCCTGTTACTATTAATTATTTTGGTACAATAATGCTATTGTGTTATGTTTATTAAGAAAAATGAGTGGTTCTCTGGAAGGCAGCTGGGCACTTCCTCAAAAAGCTGAATACAGAAATTCCTTATGATCCAGCTATTCCACTACTTGGAATATACGCCAAGAAAATGAGAACTGAGGCTCAAAGGAAATTTGTACACCAATGTTTACAGCAGCGTTATTCACCATCGCAAGCACATGGAAAGAGCCCAGATATCCAACCACAAATGAATGGATTGAAAAGTTGTGGTATAGTCATACAATGGAATACTATGCAGCACACAGGAGCAATCATCTACCTAACTTGGTAGGGACTGGAGAGCATTCTGCTAAGTGAACTCAGTCCGACAAGGACAAATACTGTATAAAACCGTTACTGTAGAATGAGTATGACGATCCAAGGCTGGGGGAGGGGGAAGGGTGGAAACAGGGGTGAGGATGAGGG